GTATAATTTGACTACAATCGATACAGCCCCTTATTTACTGGGTTAAATCTGTCCCCTTAGTCTACATACAGCCTTGATCTGTCTACCATCTAACTGAAAGGAGCTGACTGCAAATTTGTGATTAAAACCTTATTTGCCTGTGTTTCTTGCTTCCCAGGATCCAAAAGGTTTCATGAGGAAGTAACTTTCCTAACACCCACTATTTAGCATTTCCGTCCTAGACATCTTCTTACATATTTGATTTTAATTGACCAAAAGATACAAATTCGTCACTTTGCCTCTAATCTACTGTTTCCTTCTTAATTTCATTTTGGGGCCCTGAGAGAGACTTCTGTTTCCTTGATGAATGATAAGAAAGAATGACTTGACATTTAGGCCTGCACCTTCCATAACACAGAGATGTCTTTACCTACACAGTATTAAAAATTAAACAAATCTAGGTGACAAGCAGCCTACAAAGAAGGTCGTTTTCCTTTAAAAAAAACCTTATTGATATGTTTAACATATAAAAAGCTGTGTTTATTTAATGTACACAACTTGATGCCTTTGGGGATAAGCATATACCCATGAAACCAGCACCATGCTCTAAGTCACACATTTCCATTATCTCCACAGGTTACCTACCACCAAGAGGGTCTTTTTCTGTCCTAGGAAATTCAAGTAGATCAATATAAAGAATAGATTAAGGTAACTGGCTTGGACAAAACTAACAGTAAAGAGTTATATTCTTACTAGGAAGATTTGTGTAATCCTCAAGATAAAATCAAGATGAGGTGGGGTTTGGTACCAACTGCCATTTATTTTAACTGAGATGACTTAGCTAAAATTGAGTCTGGTTATAAAAATCTCCTAAGTGGGTAATATGTCATATACATGTTTGTTTCTTATAATAACTTGCTGAATTCTAGGTGAAATAGGCACTCAACAAGTATTTGTTTAATATAAGGAAGTTGTTTGTAATTATATAGATACACATATATGTCTGTATATATATATACATATATATGTCTGTGTGTGTGGATGGATGGATGGATAGATAGATAAATAGATGTATCAGTAACATTTTGGCATTACATTGTATCCACACAAATTTTGAAGTTTCTCAAGGTCATAAATCTGAAAGAGATATCAAAAACTGCAATATCCAAACTCTTAAAATTATTTCAGTTTATGAATTCAGGCTTCTCTATTGCCTGTCTCTATATTAGCACCTTCTATCATCAGCTTCTATCTATTGATCAGGACATGCATTCTAGTTTACTGAAGTTCGCAATTAGAATTTAGTAATGTGAAAACTGCTTTCTTACAAAAACGCTATGAATAATTCATGTAATTTAAATACAGTGTTTCCATAGAGTATGCTTTAATATGCTTAAAGATACAGAACATGTAATTATGTTGAAAAAATAGCAACAGCTAAATAAATTAATGTCTTTTACCTGCTTTGATGTGATGCTTGTAAGAAAGTTTCAGTGAAATTCTTTATGGAAAAATTAATTTATAGGAAAGGAAACAAACTAAGAAGGAATTTTGGAGACACATGTGGCAGCATTTTCAGCTTTACAAAATCAAATTGCAAAGCCATCAATTATGAGAGTAGTTGCCCATTAAAAACAATGACTTAGACAAAATTGAGAGACAATCCTAGATTTCTGTGTTTCTATAATATGATTTCATTTGAAGCAGTGGATATAAATACACATAAGTTTGTAATATTAGGAAGTTTTGTTACAACTACAGAATATATATTATACTGTGCAAAATAGATATGGTAACATCTTGACTGTTTAGGTTAGTTACTTGTTTGTCTGAATTAATAAATGATTTTATCTTCATGTTCATTGCCATCATTTTCATTTCAATTAAAATATTTTTTAAAATAATAGTGAAGGTAGATTAAATTTCTTAAATAATGCAGCACTGAAATAGGGAAGACAATTTTGATAGCAAAAATGCAATTTCTCCTTTCCAATAGACTCAATAAAGTAATAGCAGCCCAGAAAATGAACATTTCAGTGGTATGTGTACTTCTTTACCCAGGCCATCCTGTAAGTGAGCTAGAGAGACTTACAGTACTTCTCCAACACTGTCGGTGGAGGTGGCACTCACTCTATCCTGTTCTGTGGTTGGACAAATATTCCTATCGAGTACTGTTATTTCTGAGTCTAAAAATTATCCAGATTAAATGACAGACTAGGGAAGATTCAATTAGAAATAACTATATTGTAAACTTATCCCATACACTTTTTCAATAAGAAAAAGACTTTATTGCAACTGTTACTAGAATTCTGGTTTCCATAACAGAGGTTACTCTATCAGTAACATCACCTATTAGGTAATAAAGGTTCTCCCATTCTTTTGGTACAGCAGAGCCTCATCTCGAGGTAATGCCTGCATACGAAGCCTCCCACACCGCCAGCTTCCTCTCACACAACTGAGCTGGGCTAATCTGAACCACCATCACTCAGCCACACTGGGAAGTGGCGATGAGAAAGCTGCTGAGGGACAAAAAAGCCCAGTGACAGCTCAGCGTGCAGAAGCTCCAGGAGCGGGGTGGGGGCAGTCATCACTATAATACATTTAGTAATAGAGTAATA